ATTTATCCTCTTATTTTAGACTTCCTTTGTTACTTTGGATGAAGCTATTAAGATAACCAACAGGCGTGTAAATGCCATTGAACATGGTGAGTGTAAGCTGCTGTGGGGCTTTGTCCATCCTCTTGTCCGCACCTCCACATTTGTCACGGACCTACTAGGAATCAGGCACTGATCGCCTACTGAATAAGATGTTGCCCCTGCCCACAGTGGGAAGGGCAGTGAGTCAGTAATACAGATAACTGTTAGTAAATCCTTTGATAGAAGTGTGTGTATGATTTAGGGGGTAGTTAGAGGAGAGTGGTGAGTTAAAAAGTACGGAATGTTTTACTCATTTCTGATTATTCATGAATAAAAGGTGAAACTATTTCTCAAGAGCCCTAATGTTTTTGTAAGTTCTTTCCAATGACTGAGTGATAAATGTTTTTGAACACATGAAGTATTAAACTTTAAAGCTCTCTTTCTTAGGCCTTATGTCCTGTTCTCTTGCTGTTCTCCTTGATTTCTAAAAATAAATTTTCCCATTGGATGCATTTATTTTCCATCTCTCATTTCATTATTTTAAAACTATGACTGCTGAATGTTGCCGCAGTACTTTTTGCTTAAGAAACTCAGTTTTCATTAAAGCAACACTTATTCAATTTTAAAGTAAGAAAGGAGCAAAATTTGAGCAGCAAGGAAATTATTTTGCTTGGGCTCTATTAGTGTTAAAGATTTCCTGACTGCTTGCTTGTGCCAGCCTCTTGCATGGAATTGCAAGCAAAACAAAATGGATAAGGTAACAGTTCCAATTCACAAGGAGTTCACGTTCTAGAAGCAGAATAGGCAAATTCTGTGTAAAGTAGAACCTTATGATTGACAGAAAATTCAACTTCCTGTATTCTCTCTGCTCAATGCTCCAGTTTTTAACAATGGATTGCTGTTGTATTTAAAATAACATCCATGGTTCAATGTTACATATTCATATAAATTCAGTATATTCAGTGTTGTATATATATCACGGTCCAGTGTTACCTGTCCATAGAAAAGACAGTATGAGGGCATATTCCAAAATATTTATAATTAGTTAACTATAGAGTGGTTGGATTATACTTCATTTTATTTCTCTGTGTTTTTGGTTTTTGCATTAAATGTACATTTATTTTACAGTTAGAAAAAATAAGTTACTGTTATACAAATGAGCACTGGCAATTTGAAAAAAGATTTGAAGTTCTCACTATATATATATATTTTTAAACCCTAGTCATCATTCCCCGGATTGAACGTACCCTTGCTTATATCATCACAGAGCTGGATGAGAGAGAGAGAGAAGAGTTCTATAGGTTTGTTGGAATTTGCAGTTATTGATCATTTTTTGTTTTTCCATATTCCAAAAGCTCGATTTGCTGAGACATGTTGGCTTATGTTCTTTAGAATTAGCACAGCTTGGGACTTCCCTGGCAGTGGTTAAGACTCCACGCTTCCATTGCAGGGGCCATGGGTTTGATCCCTGGTCGGGGAACTAAGATCCCACATGCAGTGCAGCGCGGGCAAAAAAAAAAAAAGAATTAGTACAACTTGTATTTTATTCTGATAAGAAACAAGGAATAATATTGCCAAAGGCTGTGGAGATAGATCTGTGCCAAGTTTTGCACACACCTAAAATATGGCATCTCTGAAAACTCAGGCCCTTCAGAGAAACTATAAATAGCCTCGATAATTCTTTAAAATGAAACAATGATTTAGATGGGGTGTCTCCTACATAAAAAGAAACTGGAATTAGTCAATCAACAAATATGTATTGCATGTTGGAAATGTTCCAGGAGAAGGTATAAAGTACTTGGGGACATTACATAATAAAATAAATCATACCATTAGAAAGTCAGAGTACTTGGAGAGAAATGATACCTGTACAGGAATTAGCTCTGAACATTTAGAGCTAGTAGGGACAATAAATACTAAATAGGTGGTGTGCAGGGGTCAGTGTGTCAGTTTCAGAGAAGTGGGAGATAGGTGAAGGCAGGCGTATTCAGGAAAGACATAGCTGTCTTGGACCTTGAGTAGCTTCTGAGTATGATTTATAATCGTAATTAGCAAAATTTAGTTTGTCCTTCAGTTGATGTGCAGGGTTGTGGTAATCCAGATTGAATGATCCAAAATTTTAGTGTCTGAATGCTGAAAACCTGTTCCATTATCAGGGAAAGGACATCAAAGTTTATTCACCCTGAGACAGGAGCTTTTGAAATCAGTTATTAGCTTAAAATGTGTGTGTATTCTACCTCAAATCTTTTTTTTTTAAATGGGTTATAAATATGTTACTGAAATTGAAATTAATAAGGGTAGAATTTTGTCCTACTTTGTAGGTGTTTATTATCCTTGTTACAAAACTAGAAGAAATCAATTCTACTTAGTACCAAAACAGCATTCAGAAAATTCCCTCCTTTATTTTATAGGTTAAAGAAAATACAGGAGAAAAAAAAGATTCTCAAGGAAAAGTCTGAGAAGGACTTGGAACAACGGAAGGCAGCTGGAGAAGTGATGGAACCTGCTAATCTTTTGGCTGAAGAGAAGGATGAGGATCTTCTCTTTGAATAATCTTTCCTGCTCTGATTCCTTCAGAAGGCCTAACATGGCATCATTTTAATTCACGGTGTGTAGGTTTGGTATGTGTGGCTATTTAATTTTTGGCCTAAGAATTTCACCAGTTGTAAAATTCCCTGTTGTCTGTTTATGGGATTACCTTTGCAGAATCATAATTCAGCAACCATTTATCACCAATGAGATTTGGAGAACCTGCCCAGAAACTTACAGAATTTATTCTGCGAAGTGTCACCCTACTCCACTTACATGTCTGTTGCAAGTGACCTGCTTACCAACATATTAAGAAATTCCCCTTAGGAAACAGCAGTGGTCTCAGGCCAACACACGTAGGCCAGCTACTGCTGGAACACCCTTTGTTCCTACCTACTTGCACACCGTTGTCTGAGATTGCTGCAGCCATCCTTGTGTTAGTTACTGTGGGACTTCTCTCCTCAAACATTATGAAAACCTTCACTTATTCTTCCTTGAATGACAGGTCTGTCTTGTCTGTCATGGGAGCAGTTCTGCCAGTTCAAATGTGACTATGGTAATATACAGTAAAATGATTTAAAAATGAGTTGTTCCTTTTTTAATGAATTTACTGCTAAGTTGTGTTCTTATGCTCAGATCACCACGTGGGATTGGCATCCAAAAAGAGCTTTCTCTGCAGACATGTATGAAGTGGGTAGCGTCCCTTTCCCCCCCTTCATAAACTTACTGAGGTGAGTGAGTGATTGTTGAATTTTGGGATACTAATAAATATGATTGCCAATGAGTTAAGAGGGCTTATTATTACTGCCATTTTTTCTAAGAAAAAATAATTAATTCCCATTTGAGAGTAATAAGGTAACTGTAGTATTTTATAATCAGTAACAACTTGAGGCATTTGAATGACCATATCGGGTGACTGAGGTTTTTAGTAGTTTGATCTGGTGTGAGCCATCCATGATTATTCAGGCTTTCCTGCACTCAGTTATAGGCATTGTTTGACATGATTGGCCATGGAACAGTTTTTAATTAGTGAAATTGTGACACTAGCGTTAACCGTATTGTGTTTAAATCAACTGATATCACAGCCTAGACTAATTTTAAAGTAGGTAATTTTAAAGTAATTTTGCATACATTTAACAAAGACCTACTATAAAATAGCTTAGTGGTATTAGACATTTGTGTTTTATCTATTATTATCTCATCACAACAACCATTAAGAGGTACGTATTGTTTTAATCCTGCATTTCACAGAAGAAAATTTTGAGGCACAATGAGCTTGAAGTGGTGAATCCCAGATTTAAATCCAGGCAGTCTACCTTCAGAATTTTTACATCCTTAACTTCTATCCTTTTTGCCTCCCCTATGTTAAAAACTTTGGGTAAAGGTAAAGACATAAGGCCTGTCCTGGATGAGCTGATTTTTAGGAAATCCTGTTGCTGCTCACAATAAAATCTCAGATTCAATGTAAATTCAGTAGTGATTGGAAAACCAACAACTGAGTTCATAAGTCTTGAAAATAAATAGGTAACAATGAACTGCTTAATATTTAATCCTCCCAACACTCTAGTGAGTTATAAATACCATCATCTCCATTTTGCAGGTGGAAGGCAGGCCAAATGTATCTTGATTTCAGAGCCTTGGTTCTTAAGTGGTATGTATGTATGTACGGCTCTGTAGGAGGCAAAAATTAGCTGGAAAGTAGATGCAGAGAGCCAGGTTTCGTGGGTTTTCGTTTAGATAAATTTATGTTCAACTTAAGGAACTAAGCCAGAGAAGTACCCTAGAGTTTTTCCTGTGGCACCATAAACCTCTGGTACTTACTGGCTTTGGCTACCCTCCCTACATAAGTAAGTGCAGAAGATTTTACAGTTTAGCATATTGTTAAAAAGAAAGAGACAAGAGTGGACAGAAAATTTGTTGTGTAGGGTTGGGGTGATTGGAGCTGTATGGGAAGGGAGTAGATCAGGAATAGGAATAGAAAGCTGGACTGGGGTAGCATGTGTGTGTATGTGTAACAAACACTTTCTGGTACCTGATTGGCCTCCTTTGGGAGATACAGAGTAGGTATTATAGAAAAAGGGAAGGGATGAAGAATGGAGAATGAAAATATGTTATATATTTGTCAACAAGTCATCCTATCCTCAGTGTTCTCAAATTGGTGGTTGCATGTAGTGGAATTCGCCTGAGTATTACATACCTTCTTCCCCAGAAAACTAGTTCCAGAGTTCACAGCTTTAAGTTGTCTATCTATCTTTAATACAGTTTAAACAATTAAGGAAACAGAACCTACATTTGTGCCAGTAGGGGGCACTTCCCCACTGTGAAGAATAAATTAAAACGTATTTGTGTTTCACCCAGAGGTTCCAATGGACTTGATTCTGGCAAAACTTGAAGACAAGGGTGGGTCATTTTAGATGTGTTGAAACCTTGAATGGCAGAGGATATAAACACAGCAAGAGAAAGTATTCAGTGACTTTTTAAATTTGAAATATAATTTTACTTTTTATTTTTACATTACAATGTGCAGTGTTACATCTCAAAACAACAGAGTGCAGATACAGGCAGGATAAGAGTACAAAGGAGAATTAACAATAGATGTCAGAAAGGTTACCTTTATTAAGGCTAAATCCCTGGTTTAAATTTTCCACACACATTCACAGAATTACATTCAAATTATTCCTTAGGCCATGAGAAAAGGAAAAAAAAAATCCAGACATTAGATTTTCATAGAAAGCAAATCTGGATTAATCTAAACACTATTCTCCTTTCTGTTTGTTCTGACTTAAGGAAATTTAGTAAAGGAAGATTATTTCCTTACTTGAACTAATGTACATTTCATTAGCGATTGGTATCATTCCTATAAGTGGTTAAGACCTCCCTCCACACTGGGGTCTCCAATCAGAACCACAGAGGGACAGGAAATGGAATTGGCCAGAGCGGTGTAGGGCACAACTAGGTGGAGAGCAAGGCTTTTTTCCATTTTCTTTCAAGGAAGTCAGCAACAACTCAATTTTCACTTTGTAGGGACTATGTCGAATATGAGCACATCCATATCACCAGGACTGAGGAAAGTTGGGATATAAACATTTCTATCCCTCTACCACTGCTGATGAGGAAGAAAAATATATAGGACTTAAATGATCCCCAAAGACCTCATCAGCTTAGATTTTTAAGAAGTATACTACGGCAGAGCATGTGCCTCGGTAGGGGACTTGGACTTGCTTGTTAAAGCCATGCCTGAGTCTGCATAGCACATGGCCCTAGTGTTGGCCCTGTGTCTACAGGTAACTCACTCAGGGACTAGCGCAGCAGCCACTTACTGACACCGCCTGAAATCTCATTCTAACTTGACTCAAACTGCAAACGTTTTAGATCGTAGGGTTGAAAATAGTTGTCAGTTATGATAAGCAGCTCACAAAACTCCACTGTCTACCACAGACTACCTTTCGTTCCTAAAGAGAAAGTATACTGGAAAACTGAAAAGATTAAGTACTTACGGTGCCTTGTTTTCAGTGCTGAAAATCACTGTGACCTTTGCATTTTCCTGCCATAAACTGGAGTGTTTCAGACCTGAAGAGACAGTATGTATGGCATTCCTTACCTCAACCTAGGAATGTTACTTTCTTCCTAAGGAACATTATCTTGAAAGTATTTCCACACAAGATATATTCCACAGCCAACTTTGAGGCCACGTGAATTTCAACAAAAAAAGGCAGCATATAAACTGTCTACAATTTGTTCAAATAATATTATGCAAAGGAGAAAAACTCAAGTATGTACATGACACTGAGACAAACTACTCATTAAAAACAGTTGCTTAGGTTAAATTAAGTGACAATTCAGTATCATTCCAGTGTTTAGCTTTGGGAACAGGAATTGTAGCTAAAGTCACCATATAAATAAAATCAAGACATTCACATTTGAGGTTGTTTGTCACACATCACACCATCCCTTAAGCCTTGAAAATACTACAAATTAACTTTCCATGCCAATTACAGAAGTTGAATTTTAAAGCTACAAGCTATAGAGACAGTATGAAAGTTTCATTAGCTTAAATGTTTTATGATTTAGCTTGTTGCATTCTGATCATAAGAGGCAGACCTTATCAGGATAAAAACCTATTTCTATATGCTTAACTTTTCCCCTGCAATGTTCTTTTCCTAAAATGTTCAAATGACTTTCAGGTCATCTTTTCCTTCTGATCTCAAAGTCAATTGTCATATCATTTCCCTCATATAATTTTATTCCAATGCTGAACAAGTGTAATCAATGACCATTTGTCAATCTATTAAATATTAGTATACAGTACAGCAACTATATTGATCACAGAATTCCAGTTTATTACCTACATATATGGCACAGTCATCAAATTATACTGTGCTCATATATAAAAATGAAAAAACTGTCAAATGTGCTATGTCCTTTTATGCATGTAAAAAACTATTTGCATCATGAGGAAGAAGCTTAACAGTCAGAGTTTACATCAGTATCTGCCATTCATAAAAATGTAACTTATACATTCTATTGTACTATGCAGATCAGGAAAAGGAAGTAAAAGTTACCCAATCAGTTGCAACAATTAAAGAAAAAAATTCAGAAAATCATTATACCTTTAAAAAGATCAGCATATGTTGTACATGTTTTAGATCAGAGTCTAAAACAGGTGTGACCTTTGCATAAACCTTTCACGTGTGCAGTGAAGTCTGATCCACAAGTTTGAGCTAAAAAATTGGTGCTTCTAACGGAATGTTTTTATGAATTAAAAGACATACAAATGAATTCAAGCCTAACAGAGTAGCTCCAGACCAAAGTGGCACCATTTTTTTTTAAAGTAGTTCTGGTGACTAACCAAATACTGTTGTCTTGCCCAGTGCACAGAAGCAGTTTCCCTTCACCCACAAATTCCCATGAAGTCATTTAAGTTAACTGTTAAATAACATCAATATTTATTACTATGTGAGACATGGACCATTGTGTATACACACAAAAGTTTTTCATGGAAATATGACTAGGCAGAAAAGACTTGGTTAGGTGAAAACAGAATTAAAAGGTTTTTATGTGGATAAAATGGAACTGCTCTGTTGAAAACTTCCATTTAAAATCCCCAAATGAGGCAAGAACCTCTAAAGCCCATGTACAGAGAATAAAGAATGCTGTTAATGAATTGCCTAAGGGGATTTTCTTCTCACTAGTTCAAGATCTAAGAACAGGTCTACAATTTATACTGCCTGCCACCTTCTCAGAGACTTGCTCAAGTATCAGGGCTATCTTCCTATTGGCAGTTTGCCAGATCAAGTCCAATCATGCCACAGAATGGATGTTTCCTTCACCTCAGCCAAGTGGATGGCACCCACTGAGGTTCAGTATCAAGTTTGTTAATCAACCTAAGCAATTCCTGATAGGCTTTATCAAGATCCGAGTTCACAATTGCTGTGTCAAAGTAGTGGCCATTGTTCTGCTCCATCTCTCTAGTCTTCTCAATGATTTCTCTCAACTCTTCAGGCTGCAAAGAGAAGATAAAAATTATGAGGTAGGGGCTTCCCTGGTGGCGCAGTGGTTGAGAGTTCGCCTGCCGATGCAGGGGATACGGGTTCGTGCCCCGGTCCAGGAAGATCCCACATGCCGCGGAGCGGCTGGGCCCGTGAGCCATGGCCGCTGAGCCTGCGCATCCGGAGCCTGTGCTCCGTCCGCAACAGGAGAGGCCACAACAGTAAGAGGCCCGCGTACCGCAAA